TGGGTTTAAAAGAATTAAGAAAATATTTTCTATGCTCATAACTATACAAAAAAAATGGGACTTACCATGAGGGCTGTTGTGTTTCAAGAAAGCAAGTAGGGAACCTACTTCTTTGGGTTAAATTTCTACTTATTTATTGTACACCTGGCCCACCCATTTATGTTACTTACCTGGCTACTGTTTGAGTTTACTTGGCAGCTATTTGCATAGGTATTTGAGTTTTCAGGCCCCTTGATGAGACATGGTGTAAATGTTTTAAAGTATGTATAAGTCAGTGTGTGTGATTGAACAAAAGAATTATACCCTACATAAGGTCTGGATTGGTGGTCCAGACTATGTAAAGTATGAGCCTTGAGCTATGCCTTGAAATAGATAATTTTATAATTGTTAAGAGAAGATTATACGGAAGTTAATCTACGTGGGAAGAATTTGTGAGTTGGTTTTGGCAGCTAGCAAAAGAAATCTGCTAGTTGACTGAGTTGAAAGGATATAGTGTATTTTTCTGTCCATCATCCACATGCATGCAGTCATCCTTATGCAGCAGGATGTAAGATATAGAAGACATAGTAATCCAATGATTCATTTTGTTTTTAATTCTTTTACCTAGTTGTATTAATATTTTGAAAGTTTGTACTTTGGGCCATTGCTCTAATTCCATTTTCCAGGTTAATTACCAAATAAAGTTAAGTGTAATATCTATACCAAGAATGTCATTAATTAATAATACCTCATTTCTAGTAGACCTTAATCAGTAATTGCAGATTCTGGGTGGTGTGCCATGTTCACTGAATTTGTTGAACTGCAGTAGTCCAAAACTCAGCTATGCAAAAATTTAAAGGGATATTCTCTGCTCTAAAAAATATCTAGGTGAACTGAATGTGTAATTTCAGTTATATAATTATTTGCATTACAAAAAGCCTCACCAAAATGTTTAGGAGCTAACTTCGTGTAGTTGAATATGATTTTGTATTCATATGTTCAAAAAAGGAAATGCTTTTCAAATGTAATTGCATTATGTTTTCCCCCTTGTTTTAGGTTTTTTTGCCCTCCTCCTTGTGTGTATCTTATGGGCAGTGGATGGAAGAAAAAAAAAGAACAAATGGAACGCGATGGTTGTTCTGAACAAGAATCTCAACCATGTGCATTTATTGGAATAGGAAATAGTGACCAGGAAATGCAGCAGCTGAACTTGGAAGGAAAGGTAAATTAATACTATGCTGGTTCCCCATAAAAGTACTATGGTACCGGAATATAGTTTCCTTATTTGTTTTTGTAGTGTTGTTTTTTTTTTTTATGGCTTTTGGCAGCACTTTTTGAATATATAAATCAGAACCAGAATTAAACTTCTCAGTCTAGTCGTGATTCATGGAGCTTGAGCTGTTGACGCATAAAGGTGGCACACAAAAAGTGTCCTCAGCTTGCCAGCAGTTTTAGCAGGCTGTGAATCTGATTTCTGTTGGGTGCCAGTCATAAATTTAGGAGGCTAATTGCTCATCTGTCTGACAGGGGCATGGTATTCAAACACCAATGAGGATACTAGTTCAATAATGTTTTACTCCACTCTTTTAATCTTAGTCTTATACTAGAAGCAAAGTATAATGGGTTATATAAAGATCGTAAATGTTTTACTTACCTTCACTGTGGAGCAGAACTATGCTGTGTAGACAAGAACAACCATAATTAGCTTTACTCACTTACAGGGATTTTCTTTGGTTAACTTGCTAGGGAATAAAATCTATGAATTAGTTTTAGTAATTGTGTATTATGAAATTAGAAAGCAGTCATTTCAGTCTCTACCATTAGTATTCAAAAATAGTTCTTCACTGACTTAGCATTAACTATTACTTTGTTTTCCCTTGATATTAGAATTTGAAAAAATATTTAATTCTGATCTTAGCTGACCACAAGAATGTTTTTTAAAATAGTGCATAAAAAGCGATATCCTTATTCAGTAAGTCTTGTTGAGTATCTTAGTATTTGCTGTGTTGTAGTTGACACAAGAGATAGGAGTTCGAGGGCAAGGTTGAGGGTGGTGAACTAGGGGATCTGTATTCTCAAATTCAATTTTAGTCACTTTACAGATAGCAAGCACAATAAGAAGACTTAATATCAACCTCTTCAAATCCGAGTATGTTTATGTCATTTGTGTCTTTATAATTTTCATCGGTAAGGCTTGTCAACTATGTATTTTAAATTAGGTGTGGGATAAAACCTACAATAAAAGTTGTTTCATCTTAAAATAGAGTAGTATAAAATATTTCTGAATTATAACCTTTGAGCCAAAGTAAAAGATATATTTAAGTAGTGGGTTGAACAAATAATCCTTGGTCATATGTCATCTGTTTTTCGTTATATAGAAAGTCTCAGTTACATGTCTCCAAGCTGTGCATCTAGACATTTGGAACTGTGAATGATAACCAGATAGGTAGTGAGAAGCCAGGGATTCTAGCTATACGTGTATGTAACTGTGTTAATTGACCTTCAGTGCTCACTTAACCGATTTCAGCTTCCAGCAATTTTAAGGGAGGTAATGCCAAACAGCATCCCCACTTGCCTTTCTCAGCATCATTGCCTAGTACATCTTTCTTCAACTTCTATTATTATATCCTTTCCCCAAGCCCTAGAAATTTGCAGAAGAGAAAATGAAAACCTGAGAGCTTAAGCATTAACTAGTACTTGAAACACCTAGTTATAGGCTGGTAGAGTGTCTATAAGCCAAAATTATATGTTACTATTTAGTTTTAATCAAAAATCCTATTAGAGAAGTCTATATAGAGTAAGACTTGTTGAGAGTCAGGAGGAGGCATTCTGGGCACAAAGAACAACATAAACATGCTTGGAGCATAAAGGTACAGAAACGAGGTAAGTTTGGATCCAGGTAGGCAAGGATGGACCGAGTGGTGGGATGGATGCTGAACCTCAGAAAGAGGTACTTTGACTCCTGTCTCAACCTCCACTCATTTAAGGTAATATTTTCTTTCAAGTCTGTTCATTGAATTAATTAGTCATTATAGAAAAGGGAGGAATATTTATTTTGCATTATTGGGTATTTGTGCTTGCTTTAATATTCATTATGGCAGAGTTCTAGTATATGTAGCCCCTATTTTTATTGTCATGATATTTGACTATATGTTGATAATATTTTGGATCTGATGTTTTTAATTTCTTAAATAGTCGCTTCCTCAGTTTTATGTCTTGCATAGTTTGCTCTGCAACATGAACTGTTTCTCTAATAAGCACACTTGTATTTTTATTTTTAAAAATTATATCCCCTACACTTCTTTTGCTAGCATTATTTTGTTTTTATAATTCAAATTCTAAAATTCAAATATTTCTATAATATCTTTGTAGCATTACACCTCGTATTTCTTTTTCATTTCAGGGCAAACGTTCTCTTGCCTGAAGAGCTTCAAAATTTTTAAGTTAAACTGTTCTTTGTCTTATAGAAAAATTTATTATATGCCATGTTCTAGAATTCTGTTATGTAATTTAGCCTTTGGTATGATGAAGCCTATGTAACTTCAGTTTTTATTTACTTATTTTCTTAAAGTTACAATACTTCTCTTGAGTCAATGACTTTCCCTATTTTTCTCTTATGAAATTTGAGTAGTTTGTGGTTAGTGGTCTTACAGTCTTTTAAAATATAAGCTAATAAAGCTATCTCAGGATTTAGATTTAAAATACTTACTTTTGTGATTAGGGATATATTTCCTTTCCTTCCAAGGAGGTATACGTATATCTGCTTTTTTCCAAACGAAATAAAGTCCTTTGAGCGTAGGTATTACGATCTAATCTTCTCTGCTCTTTTCTCCTTTCCTGTTTGCCCGTCTATCTTCTAATTTATGCTACATTTCAGTATTTTCTCTTTTCTGATATAGATCATATCCCTTGATATTAACACTCAAATTAAGTGATCTCATTATTTTTGTTATGCCTTTAGAATGTCATTGCCATCATTTAGATACAAATTTCATTTGCAGCTGTCTGCTTCAGTGTATCAATACCCATTTTCCTAGACTTTGTCTTATGTTGCAGAACAGTCCCATAGTTTAGGCTTTAGTTGACCCTCAGTGCTTTTTTAAAGTATAGCGGACTGATGACTCGGCATCCCTGAGCACTTGGAGGTCCTTGAGTGAAAAGAGTTGTGTGAGTGCAAAGTGCTGTTGTTTTTTTTTATTTTTCTTATTTTACTATTATTAACTGTATCGTAACTTTGTTTTCTGCTGAACAAAGCCTCTCAAAGCTTTTGAATTTATAAAAACTTAATCAAGTGTAAAATATTCAAGATGGCACCTAGATTTTCTTATATAACTTTGCTGCTAAGAAATTAAATAAACTATGGCACTATTTTTGTTCTGGTACTAAAATTGGCTGTGAGTAATATTTTAAAGACTAAAAACCTCGCACACATTAGCTGTTTTCTGAATGAGTGGCATTTGCCCTACTTTTTAAAAGGAACACACAGCAGAGGTAGTAAAAGAAATTTGTTCAGCCTAATTTTAAAGTATAGCATTGATTTTTTTTTTAAATGTAATTCAGGTACTATAAATGTTTAAGCTGTGTTTGAGCATTACTTACCCAATCTGGAAAAGGAGATCTATAATTTAGTCTCTTCCCTAATTCACAGAGATCAGGGGAATAGAAAAGATTTTAGAATTGTCATATATAGTTGAAATAGCATTTCAGAGTATCTTAATTGTTTTGCAAGTGCTATAACTCTTTAATACTGTCTTTTCAGTTACCAGAATTTATTTTCTGATAAACTGACACAATACCTTCCTGTATTTATTTTCTCTAGTGCCTTTAAATTCTGTTCTTTTGGTGAAACAATATGAATTATCCCATTCAGCAAAGTTGACCATTTAAAAAAAAAATAGTTCTTTAAAGTGTAATCATCCAGTTAGTCTAACATTGTTTTCTTCAGACATACAGTGGTTACTTTAGTGTTCGGCTATATAAAAAAAAAAAATCGTATGTACTATTTTGAGAAGGACCAGTGGTAAAATCTTTCACATAATTTGATTGAATTCTGATAGCCTTCTTTCTGTTTTTTATTTGCAGAAAGACAATTGTGGATTTTTTTAACTGTAAAATTTTATTTTAAAAAAATACTGCTATAACATTGGTAATTCTGTGAAATAGTTGTAGAACAATATAGAACAAGAAAAGACTATCTTTTAGAAGTCTTTTTGATGGGCAAAACAATACAATGTTAGTATTTGGTATACTTGATAAGGAAGACTTTGTACTTTGTTTTCAGAGATCAATTTCAGTACTTTTTACAGTTGCTTTTATCAAGCTCTTCAGTGGAATTACTGCCTTTTAGTCTGACCAAACCTAGTGATAGCCATTCTGAGTGGTGGGTGCGTAACTAACAGGGTATTGGTGCCACTAAAACTTTCCTTTTCTTTTGCAGAACTATTGCACGGCCAAAACATTGTACATATCTGATTCGGACAAGAGAAAGCACTTCATGTTGTCTGTAAAGATGTTTTATGGCAACAGTGATGACATCGGTGTGTTCCTCAGCAAGCGGATAAAAGTCATCTCCAAACCTTCCAAAAAGAAGCAGTCGTTGAAAAATGCTGACTGTATGTATACTTGAGTTTTCTTTTTTATCCCCAACTCTAAGCATGAATTAGTAAGACAAATTCAACATTTTTTAAATTAAAAATTGCTTTTCAGTAGCCCATTCATTCTTCGCAAATATTTTTGTGACCCTCACTTCTGAAAATATCACATTCAATTATTATTGCTGTCTTTATTGTCTTTTTTTTTCTTTTTAAACTCAAAATGGGCAGTGCCTGGTCTAGGGAAGTAATTCTTCTCCAGAGTTGGTTCCTTACTGCCCCCCCCAAAGGCATTCGGAAATATTGGAGTTATTTTTCTTTTTGCTGTCACAGTGACAGAGGAAGTAATGTTTGCATTGGGTGTCTAAGTGTCCTGCAGTGCCAAAGATAATTCCTATTCCACAAAGAGTTGGTCCATGCAGAGTATCAAAAGCACCCGTTTGAGAAACACTCTTACATCAAATGGGCTTTGGAAGGCCATCCTGAGACCTAAACAAAAATTTTGACATGGTTGCTCTGGCAGAGACTGCTATGTCACCAGCACATTTTTAGACTATGGCAGATAAATGCTGTTTGAATTGTACGTTTCAACCTCTACAGCCATTTTTCTTTTTTCATTCTGACATTTTATAATGAAAACTTTCAAACTTAAACAAAAGGGAGAAAGTAGTGTAAGGTGACCATCCACCTGGCCTCAATAGGTTTTACCACTTCTGTTTCATTATCTCTATCACCACCACCTCCCTTCTCTAGTTTTTTGCTAGAATTTTTTAATGTAAATTTCAAACATCTTATCCTTTCAACCTTTTTTGCAACAGTGACTCTCTAACAGATCGTTTTCTTTTAAACATCATTATGCCAACAAAAGTTGATAGTAGTTCTTTAATGCCACCTAATGGCCAATCCATGTGCAGATTTGCCATATCATCTCAGAAATATCTTTTTACAGTTGTGGTTTTGTTGTTATTTTTAAGTTGACTTATTCAAACCTGGATCCAAACAAAATTCATAAATTTTAATAATAATTTGTAATAGTTTCTTCTCTTCCCCACTAGCCTTTTTTTCCTTCGTGTTATTTATTTGTTGAAGAGACTGACCATTTTTCCCGTGGAATTTCCATTTTCTGGATCTGGCTGATTACACGTTCCTCTGCCTCTCATATTTTCCATAAATTGTTGGTTAGACTTTATTTTAGAGTTAGCTGGTCCTGTAAGTGTTCATTTCTGACCAATCAGAAGTCATATAATATGTGGTTATCCCACTTCTTGTTGTGTTAAGATGGGTTGTAGTAAGGTGAGCTGTTAGCCTAATTCATCAGTTATAAAGTTCCTCAGCAACCTTTAGCCAAATGATTTTAGTAGCCCCTGATGATGGCTGCTTAAATGCAGCATTTCATTAAGGGTCACAGAGTGATGCTTTTCTTAATTCTTTTTTATTCTTAAACTTTACATTTGTTGGATGTTTGCTTTAAATGTAGTCTGGAGAAAAGGCAGGATAAGTGCTTGTTTATAATTTGCAGAATAGCAATGTATTCTTTGAAGGTGACCAGTGAGGTTTTAGGATTTTGGTCTATTTCCTTGCTTTTGTTTTGTTTTATTATGAACTTACGGGGTTTATATAGTGGATGGTTTTTAGTCCACTTGGTCATTATCATCATCATCATTTGCTTTATATTATGGAAATTTTCAAACATACTAAGGTAGCTTGCATAATGACATGAAACCTTTTGTGTTCATCCTCTTAACTTTCAGCAGTGGTCTTAACTCCAGGCCAGGCTTAATTCATCTTCATCTGTAACTCTACCTTACCCACACTCTCCTTTGCCATCATTTTAGTTTTATGCAAATCCACGACATTATATCATCTGTAAATGTTTCTGTGTATCTCTGAAATATCTAGAACCTCATTTTCTAATATGATTACAGTACCATGATCACATAAAAACAAACATAAACCAACTATAAAAAGAAGTAATTTTTAGTGTCATTAAATACCCAGTCAGTGCCCAAAGTTAAAACTGTTTAAAATGTGGGGAGTTTTTTTAGCCTGTTGTTTGAATCAAAATCAAGTAAGATCCATGAGATGTTACACTATATATTTTGTTGACATGTCCTTGAGCATTTTTTATTTGTGGATTTTCTCTCCATCTCTCTGTTCTCTCTCTCTCT